ATTAATAAAAGTTATATTACTGATTAAAGCATATTATATAAAATATAGTAAAGTATGCATTATTAAAAATCAGATAATTAGATTATTAGGTCATTAATCTTATAAAAGTTTACGTAAACTATTAAAATTTTGATAATTATAAGGGAAGAAATAACATAATTATTACATAACACACGTGTTATATTGCATTTACGTTGTTAAGTGGGAAACTATGACATTGATGTTGTGTTACTATTATAGTTGGCTAATTCACTAAAAAATAATTATAAAAGTAACTGAGATATATAATTATATTCTTGATCCACAAATTCCACAAATTGTGGAAGTAGTACGGACACACACCAGAATAGGATTTTATCGGCAGGGTCAGAAAATGTAAATGGCTACTTAATTCCAATATCCTAAAAATAGAACTTGAGGACGCTAGTGTACGGGGGGAGTTTTGACAGTTCCACGAAAAAGGGCGGGGGGGATTCGAGTTCCCAAGAAGAGATAGGTTAGATGGCGAGTTGTCAGGACGATAACGAGATACGTCAAGAGTAATTAAACGCCGAAAAAAATTAATTCGAGGTTGACAATCGAGGCAAGTTGATTGAGGGAAGATGAGACGAAAGGCGGGGGTGGGCGCGATACAAAAGCAGAAGTTGGAGCAGGAGAAGTATCGCGACAAGGGCACGGAGATCCAGGAGAACCAGTTCGAGCAGATGACGAAACACATGGAGACGTTCCGCGTAAATCTCGAGGAATTTGCGTCGAAGCACAAGAACGAGATAAAAAAGAACGCGCACTTTCGCCGTCAATTTACGGAGATGTGCGCCTCGATAGGTGTGGACCCGCTGGCGTCCGGTAAAGGATTTTGGTCAGTTTTGGGCATTGGCGATTTTTACTACGAGCTCGCTGTGCAGATAGTCGAAGTTTGTATGGCAACCAATTACAAAAACGGTGGCCTGATATCTCTGGACGAGCTAAGAACGCGTTTGATTCAAGCCAGAGGACGTAGAAAGGAACATCAGGAGATCACCAATGAGGATTTGCTGGCTGCTGCAAAGAAGTTGAGAATATTTGGAAACGGTTTTTCTGTAGTTCCTATTGGCAGAGGAAAACATTTAGTACAGTCAGTACCTGGTGAACTCAGTATGGACCATACGGCAGTATTACGTCAAGCTAGCTTATCCACAAATGCCTATGTTTCTAAGTCTATCTTGTGCAAGGAATTGAGATGGGAAGAGGATAGAGCGCAGAAGGCTCTGGACTATATGATGAAGGAAGGATTAGCTTGGTTGGATAAACAAGGAGAAGACGAGGTGTTATATTGGTTTCCTAGTTTATTCACAGCGTGCATTGTTTCCAAAGAATAGACTTTGTGTCAACATTGTTGTCAGATAGGTAGAAAATAATTTCAGGAAAGACTTAACGTTGCTTTTTACAATTTGTATCTCTTTGGTAAATAAAATCCGTCGCTTTGTAATATTTACAGCAGAGATCCATTTTGTAGTCATCCATGTGTGTCCTATGTTCAATATAGGATACTGTCACCTGGTTTCGGATCCTTGTATATTACTAAAATCACACAAATAAGAGAGAGATATAAGTCACAAGAATATGCCAGTTTTATATGATTCAATTTAGCTAAGACTTTATAGTACAAACCTATGTTGAATAATATCCGTTTTGAATTGCTGTTTGCAAAGTAGAAGTGCTTTCTGTAATTCGGCATTCTCTTTTCGTAACGAACTAATTTTTCCACGTAATTCCTTAGACTTGACTTGAAATCGTACAGTCAAAGATTTTGCTTCGTCTCTCCATCTTAAAATAAAGCAGATTTTGTCACTCAATTAGATTTATAATCAGGTTTATAATAACAGTAATAAAGTTAAATAGATTTTTTTTTATTACTTTCGACTTAATTTTTGATGATTTGTTACATGTTGTGTCATCTCTTTGATCTTTTTTTCGAAATGCTTCTGTTGCTTATTTAATTGTTCAGTTAACATAGACTGCCAATTATGATCTGTATTTTCAACCCTGGAAAACATTGATTTTTAGGCACATCCAAAGTAAAAGAGTTATTTATTTATTTTATGTAGTAGAAGTATAGAATTATATAATGTAAATGAAAATGTATAATAAAATTATTTACCTTATATCCAAAGTATGCTTGCTCATTGTATCCGCATGATGCTGGGAGGGAACTTGGACTGGAGAAATATTAAGACTTGATTTATTCTCCATTATATAATTTTCCTTCGGAAGGTTCATTTCTAGTTCGCGGATCTTGTTTTCCAACATGCATCGTTCGTAATCTCTCTTGTGTATTTCGTGATCGAAAGCCAACTGTAGCGTCTTCAATTCTGTCGTCAGAGATTCTTTATCATCTGTAGCTTTGATCAATTGACTTTCCAAATTAACGTAACAATCGATTGCGTCCTTGGTCTTTTCATCGGCTAATTTAATGCGATCCCGTATATTTGTAGAATTTTGTTGTTGAATTTGCTTCAGCTTTTCATTCGAAACTACTAATTTCTCTTCCAAATTAGCAATTTTTTCTCGCAGCTGTTGCATCTCTAAATTATATTGTCTTTTGCATATTTCATTAGAAGCCTCTAATTTTGAATCTGTCTGTTTTAACGCTTGTTCGAAAGTCAGAATCTTCGCGGTTGATTTTTCCAGTAATTCCTCAGAATCTCGACGCACTTTCTCCAGTTCTTCTTCCACTAATCTGGTTTCTTTTTGCGATTGCTCTAATAATGTTACTTTTTCCCGCAATTCCGATTTTAACTCTTTGATTTCTAATAAATATTTTTTCATACTATGCTCATGAGCGTCTTTCAACTTAGCAGTCTCTTGTCGCATCTTAACGGCGTGTTCTTCGATAATGGAAGTCAACCGAGCTTCCAATCTAGCATTTTGCTCTGCAATCTGTGCCTCCCTTTGAAGTATAAACTCTTTTTCTTTTACCGCAGATTCTACTAGATCGAGAGCCTCAGCCATTTTGCATTTTGTTTCTTCGTTCTTCGCTATAATATTATTAGCCACTCTTCTGCTTTCGTTTAATCTCCTCTCTAAATCTGACTTCAAGTAACTTGTCCTCTGTATTTCCGCTTTCGCGGCAGACAATTCTTCTGTTAACGACTGTATTGTCTGTTGACTATTCCTATCTTTTAAATAAAATTACTGACGTATCATTTCTGTCATATCTCAAATTAAATGCTATGTAAATCACTGACCTTTCTGTTGACTACTTTGTTGAAGCTCTTGAAATCTTGTCAGTATTTCTTCTTTTTCTCTCTTTAGAGTTTCTATCGTTTCTTTGCTTGACATCCACAGAGACTGTTGCTTCATGAAATTTTCCTTCGCTTGAAGTAATTTGCCCTCCAAAGCCTTTATAGCCTCCGAATATGATTGTCTAACATCTTTCAACTGTTCCTCATAAAATTTGATATCTCTGCTATCCACTGGACGAGTTCTGAGTTCTTGCTCCAAAGCATCCACAGCTTTCATTGACACCTGCCACAGCTGAACTGCTGAATCCTTTTCCATCTGCAAGACCGCAATATGCTCCTTCAGATTTGTAATTATCTTATTGTGTGCATCCTGATTGCCACATTCTTCCATATGCGTATATGAAATGTAATCGCGTATAGCATCACTGCTGTTCTTATTCTCAATATGCAGAGCTTGTAACTCAGAACGAATGCTGTTTTGTTCTGTCTGAAAAATATATTCATACTGCATATATGCTTCGCTACAAATTTAAACATCAAACATTAAGTAGATTTGAAAAGAGGTTTACTTTGCAAACTTCCAACTCTCGTTTAAGCTCTTCAACAATATCATTGTACTCTTGAAGAATAACATTATGTTCTCTGGAATTTAAAAGAAATAGTAAAAATGTAAACAATAAGATCATAATTGTAAGAAAATTGATCGATCAAGTTGATAATTATCAAAAACGCAAAATTATTGTTTTATAAACTGTTAGCTTGGCTTGATCACTGTTCCTGTATAAGGACTGTCTGACTGATATTTTTCTATGTGCTATTAACTTTATCTTTTATTTAACAATGATATATTAAAGCTTTCCTAACCTCATACTTACCCGCGTTTCAATGCAGTATACTCCGAATCGAACATTTTATTATAGAAAATTTATTGTCTTATAAAAGGCAAATCAACTATAAAAAATTTTATTTCAATATCTAAACTATTTTCATTCAATTTATCTAACATTCAATAGATCATTCATGTTGCTGCTATCAACACATCGCACTTGTATCGATTGACACACACACACACACACACACATACATACACATACACACATACATACATATCACACACCAGCGCATACACACATTGGCGGCAAAAATGCTTCAAATATAAAATTTATTAGCAAATATCAATTAATTGGTTTTTTCAGATTAATAATTATACTGTGACATTTCGAAAATTATATTAGACATTTATTATATAATAATTAAACAAATATGATTATGCGCAGGTTTTTTTTAATTGTGACAATTGCGAGATGATAATTATAAAGTAATTATAAAACATTTATTAATAAAATATATATTTTGCGATTTATGTTTTTCAAAATAATTTTTGAATATATTTTTCTAGTTAGGTAGTTTTATTTTATTGATTGGATAGTTTAGTTAATTAAATTTTTATTTACAGAACAATTAATCTTTATATCACAATGAAACATAAATAATCTTGAATAAAACTTGAAGTATTTATATAAAAATATTGAAAAATGACATGTAATATCAATCGTTTATCGATAATATTTCGTATATTTTGCATATATGATTAACATTAATTAATATTGTACGACTCGCCATGCGATTATTACATTTAACATTTATTACATTTGATTAGTTTATGCATGATAATAATTGCTTAGCGAACTTGGTTTTCATGAATTATCAAATACAGATTACAGGAATAATCCTTTCCTTTTAATATTAGTTTTTTAAATAGATTTAAAATAATTTTTCTTGTCTTAAAAACATACAAAGGTTTGGCATAAAATAATTATAATAAATTACTCTCTATTTTCTCAATCTATTTTCTCGATCAAATAAGACAGGACTCTATTATTCGTATAAATATAAGATATAATAGATATAAAAAGATATAGTAATACAAGCCATTCAAAATCAGCTCAAACGGCACTGAAAATATTCGTCGTGATATTTCGTAAAATTGGATATATTTCATAATGGCAAAAAATTGTTTGGGGCGTGATCTACATAAGGATTTGTTATTGTGACACAGTAGGGTAAAAAACTATTTTGTTTTGTTGTACGTCGATGTTCGGGCGAGCAACACACAGCGCGCGTCGCTCCGCACGTCGTTATCATGCGTAAGCGTTATCACACATCTCTCAAAACGCAATTATTTCTTACGAGCCATTCGCTTAGTTATCAATTCGTACGGCTGATTAACTGTTACAATTAACAATCTACGAACGACGGCTATTTATCGATGCGAATATCTCGCGAGTTTTATTCGACCTACATACATATGTAGGACTCGAAGCAATAGGGAATGAGGGTTGTATATATATACTACAATATCGTTTCGCCGGCATATTTATTGCTGACAATTGTTTCTTTAACGAGTCTTGTAAAATATATCTCTCATCGTGAATTAACTTTTTTTTAGACCGATTAACTTTTTTTTAGTATATATTTGTAATTTGCTCGCTTTACCGCTTTCCGGATTAAGAATGCAATTGAGAATGAGAAACGTTCTGTGTGAATTGCCTGCTTAAATATTGGTAGGTGAAAAATCTGTCGCATAGAAAGTGTTTAAGTATTACATAAATTTCACAAGAATGCATACGATGTATTATTTGACGTTAGAAACGTGTCGTGCAAAATGCAATGCGATTCTTATCGTAATTAAAGCGTATGCAAAAATCGTAATTGGCGTATGCTTAATAAATTTCATAAGTGGACACATATTTTTATATAGGATAATTATAATATCGATAAGATTTAAAACAATTTACTACATACATCTATATTATTAAACTTTTCTTCACGAAATTGAAATCTATTGGTATTTTCTAAATTTTGTGGTTTAGAAAGAAAAATTTTTCTAAAATTATGTAATTATTATAATAAATATTTTTGAAAGATAAATGAAAACTTTAATACGCGTAATCATTATTTTATGCGCGAAATATTTACTATTTTGTGCATTGCTATAATTTAGATACATGTGTAATTTACTAGATACATGTGCACATTAGAGAAATATGTAAATTATTTTCTGATTTCAATACAGAGTCAAGAAGAAATTTTTTGGATATTTTCAACGATGATCAAAATTGTTCAGTATATAAATAAATCAGTATATTAATTGTGGTCACATTTTAAGTAATTTTAATTTCGGGAGTGCCGTAAAAAGTTTTGCGCGATTATCGTATTGTGATAATAAGTTTATTCGCGATTGCAATTAGTTTCATACTTCGCGAATGAATTCAAGAGGAATCTGAAACGAGCGGAGGAGGAGACATCGGACGAAGCTGACGGAGCAATCTACAGGTATTGGTTTTTTATTTATTATTTTCATATATCATTTTCCACTTTACATTATCGTAATTATATACATATGATTAATTTTTGTAATACTGCATTGAAATATGTAAAAGATTAAAATATTAATTAAAATATAATAAAAATAATCTTTCTTATGCACAAAAACATGTTTGCAATATAATGCCATGAATTTATCTATTGTTTATCTGCGGTATTTGTAAGATTTGAAAATTGTTTATCGAGTTTATTGACTTATATATACATGTAAAAATTAAACTTTATTTTAAAATAAAATTAAAAAATTTTAATCTTTTTGAAAATTCTATAAAGTAGAAAATAAAGATTTTTTTCGGAAATTGCACAATTATTTTAGTAAACATTTATACTTATTTATAAATGAAAAGTAAAAAGAAATTTAATATGCGTAACGATTTTTAAAATATTAATTATTTTATACATTACTATAATTCGGATATATTTGTATGTGCAACTTAACATAGTTTTGAACGTAAATTACAATTCCACTATTGCACATCGTACTTGTGAATCATACATTTTTATTTTAATTTGAGATAAAAAAATGTGTCAAAATTATACGAATATATCTAAATTTATATACATGTACACATGTATATATCTTATGTTAATAATATATAAATATATCTTACAAATTTATTTGTCTTAAAAATAAATATATATATATATATATATATATATATATATATATACGGTTATAATTTAATTTCTTAATTTAAAAAAAAATCAAGTAAAAGCATATAATGAGAATATGAAAAGAGAAATTCATTTTTTTATAAATAAAACATAATCTATATTTTGAAACAAATATACAGATTTTGAAATATAAACAAGCAATATTAAAAGAGAGAAAAAGAGAATTCCATTGAAAATACTAAATATATACATTGACATAAATACAAAATTTCTCGGAGATAAGACATGAATATGGTATTGTCATCCGTTCAAAAATGTATGTACATAATAAAAAAAGAATATGAATTTCAATTTACTGAATTTGAACACGATCTTTATCAAAGTTTTAAAATAGTGAATGCCGAATATTGGATTACATGAAGTTATGCTACATCTATATTGGTGAAATATATAATAATAGAAATTTAAATAAACAAATAATATTAATTCTGTGTAATAATATTATACTCTGCACGTAGAAAACATAAAAATAAATTCAACGTCTATTCGTTGACGATCGATTAATGATCGCGTATATTTCAGCTTTACTGTATAAATAATTCTGGTATGAATTAAATAGCAATCCAGCATTCAATAAAAAAGTATTGATTGCGCAAAAATAACGGCACGATAAATTTTTGCATCGCGTTTTCACATTCAATACAGAAATAAACTTTCTATGTAATCTATTTGCCCAGAGAAATAACACAACATGCAACACCGTAAATATATAACAGATACCGATATGCATTTACTGCGGAATAAGTTCGGACGATGTTTATCTGCCTATTATACGCTTCGTATAACGAATCATACAACGAAACGATCAACCATGCGCTTTCTTTTTTTATTCCCATTTTTTTCACGTGTAATTTGTGCGCATAACAATCGATATATATTGTTGACTCATAGTACATTAAAAAATATATATACAAACGTATAAGCGTTTTAGTAATAGCTTCTATCATTGAATTCAGTTAATGTATTTATAAGACTGGAAAAAAATAATTTCTTTTATCATTAAAAATCTGCTTTGTGAGACTAAAAACTTAAAAGTTAAAAAAAAAATAAAACTTTGTCATGAAATTTGTATGAGTCGCTCATCGAGATTATGCTTCGTAAAATATTAATCTACATGCAAAATATTATTTATTTTTAAAAATGTCAAGTTAAATCATTATTACTATTTTCATATGTTAATTAATTTGTTATTGCTGTGTGTATGCCGTGTTTACTTCTTATCTTATGTATTGATAGAAATCGAATATCTTGAGAAATCGAATGTAAAGAAAATTAATAATAATTGTAATTTTAAATAATAATATATAAATAATTTTATTCGTTATAAAGAATTAAATATTAATTTTTTTCCAAGGATGATAGAAATTGTAACATGCACGTATCAACTGCCAATGCGTATTTCGTAAATAGCTGTCATTGTGGAAATCGAGCGTTGACAGCTTGACAAATGTTAAAGATTGATAACTGTGCGAGTAATTTTATTAAGAACGAGTTTGATATTGATTGATTTGTGCGAGAATATGCGCTATTCTATTTATTATTTCTTCGATAGATATTCCACTCGATAGATATTGGGGCCCTATCGTGTCTAACACTTACAATTTTATAGCCTTAAACTTTTAATAAAATAAAATGCAATTAAAATGCAATTAAGATGCATTTAAAAATAAAAATTTTAATTTTATTATAATATGTAAGTGTTATATTTAATGATATTTAATAATCACAATAAGCTGAAAGTTAAACTAGAAGAACAAGCGTAAAAATTACGCAATAAACATTAACATTAGCTAAGCCGCAGAAATTAAAATAGAATAATCACTACATGTTTACGTGCACGTATAATTACGACCTTGAACGTGCTAATTCTATTCACTTTAATGATTAATTTTAAAAGCTATCTGACTCTACTTTAATTCAGAAGCTATCATGATCTTAATATTCTCTTGTAGAATTTTGATTAATCTTCAAAACACACAGTTAAAATTATTTATATTACTTTGATCGATTTATTAATGTTATTTATTTATAATCATTTTATTGCTTTTATTTATAATTTATTATTTTATTTTTATTTTATTTTATAATTTATTTTATTATTTATTTTATTATTTTATTTTATGCTTTATTGTTTTATTTTATAATTTATTATTTTATTTTATTTTAGAATCATTGCAATATTGGCAATGATCCTAAAATCATTTGTGTGATCATTTCATTTATATGTAATGTTATACAAAAAACGCAAGTTTTAAATATTAGAATTCTTTAAAAATTAATGTACAGTTAATTAAAAATTAAACTAATTCTATTTAAGTTTTATACAATTTAACAGAAAATTGTTAGGATTTTATTAAAAATATATAATAAAATACATTTATATTAATAATTTTTTAATATTAATGAAATCTATCACAGAATCAGGATGGAAAGTGATGCAGATGTAGCGAGTGCATTGTTGTGTTCTCTAACGCTATCGATCTAACAATAATCTCCTTTTGCATATTGTGTTGCCTAGATATAAGGCATGCTCCAATTAATTTTGTAAAATTAATTTGTAGCGGTATCGAACAATTCTAAATAACAATTCTAAATAAAGTTTACTGCCTCATCCCAATTTTTCAACAAAGTTTTGACCATGATTAAAATCGGTTTTCAAGATGTTAAAACTCAATCATGATTAAAGAATTTCTTCCGTGAAAGTTTTAGCGATAATATTTCGTACATTGTACAAAATAAAATTCACATTTTGAGATGTGTTTATTTAATTTAATTGTTTGTGTTTATTTAATTATATGTAAATAGATATTATTATTCAATTATTCCCTTATTAAATTTTTTAAATTCTTTTAATCAAATGGAATTTTTATTACGTACTATAGGAATATATTTCTTTTGCACGCAGAGGTGATTCTGCGCTTTAATTTATTAATTTCTTAATAATAACAATTTTAATAGTTACTATTATTATAGCACGTTGACATTTAATATTTCATCATAAAATAATAATCTGCATTTAGAAGAGCAGTCGTGCGATCATTACCGCGTTGCGACTGCAAGAGTGTGATAATTATTTGCGGTTTATTGGATTATTCAGCATTTACATACAAAAATACAAAATGATTCATGAAACGATCAACGCTCATCATTGACTGCGTTTCTGTTTTAATAAACTATCATTAAACAATGTTTTTAAATTTATTTAATTTTACGATTAAAAGTGTTCCATGCTATTAATTGGCCTCTGAAACAGAGCTCCGACTATTCACTCACAAGTATTTTTTCAATTATTACATTTTAATGTTTTAACAAAAATGCGTAAACAAGAACTAAAAACACAACGACACGGACAGAGGGAGTATATCGCGAGAAAAAAAAAAAACAAGAAAACTCACCCAGCATCTTCAACACTCTCCTGGACGATCTTCCGGGGTAATGTCTGCAGTTTCTCGATTCACTTCTGCCCGGGACAGTCATGTTCGACTTTCTGAGCTTGAGGCCGATCAACACGTAAAGAAACGTGATCAGGCACATCGGTATCACGAAGAACAGGAATGTGGACGCCTCGAACGAATGGTTGATGATAATTCTCTTGACCGTGCACATCACCATGTCGGGGTGGTCGTTGTGCCGAACCACCCCGAACTGCAGAGCCTGCGGTAACGCGAACAACAGTGCCACCAGCCATATCCCCAGTATCAGTTTAATCGCGCGAGACAAGTTCGAGAGAGTCTGCGAGAGGAAGGGATGACAGATCGCCACGTATCTCTCGACGGTGAAGGCGGCGATGGTAAGGACGGACGCGTTCGTGGACATCTCCGAGGCTAGGCCGCGCAGCACGCAGAAACCCTCCCCGAATATGTAGGGGTATTTACACCAGACCATGTACATCTCCGCCGGTAGGCCGGACACCAGCAGCAACAGGTCGGACACGGCCAGAC